AGTTCTAGGACAGCCTCCAAAGCCACAGAGAAACCCTGTCTCAAAAACACCAAAAAATAAAAATAAAAAATAAAACCTCACCCTGGGTGCTGCAGTGTGATACCCAGTGTACCCTTTTGCCCTAACAGTTTTGCTTGCAAAAGTTCATTGCAATGAGTCATTGGTACAGTTCGAGGCCACTGGCTTCTGCTACACTATAAATACTGGATCCTCCCTGGGATTCTTATCAGATATCCTGTTGTTGCCCTGTGTATGGAGATCCTGCAGCTTTGGTTCACATGCCCCAGCAGTTCTTAGATGAGGTAGATGTTGGGGTGGGCCAGCTCAATACCTGGATCTGGGCCTGGATGGTAGCTGAGTTGGTCAGCCTGCCCACTTGCCACAGGGGCAGCTTTCCCACTTTGCCCAGGTGAGAGGCGGGGCCAGCTTTCCCACGTGCAGCAGCTAGCAAAGGGGGGAGACCGTCTCTCCTTCGCTCAGACCTTTGCGGTCAGCTCTCCCCAACTGTCTCAGAGAGGCGTGGGACCAGCTCACCCAAATACAAACGCTGGCAAAGGGCAGGGCCAGTTCTCTCACTCTTACACTTTTATTTTGCTGATGATGTTGGGATTTCAGTCCATAGTTGGTTGGCCTGTGGCTTTCCAGCCTTCAGTGAGAGAGAGTGTGGAGCAAAAGGGGCTTACCTCAATGTGACCAGAAAGCAGCGAGAGATACAGGAGGAGACCAGCCTGATGGTCCTCTTGAATGACTGACCTCAGCAATCATTCACCATTCTTCTTGTGGGCCTTACCTTCCAACAGTGCTACAAGACGGTAAGACTTGAACATATGACCCAAGCTTCAGGCATTCACAACCAAGTCCTGAGATGCATTCTAGTTAGATGACTTGAGTCATGTGGTCTCTCAACTTTTTTCTGGCTATCAGGAAAGTCAGAACTTAGCCCAGACTCCCCGCATCCCAGAGGATATAGCCACTGCTGGCAAGAGCAGAGGATGACATGGAAGCTGGGGAAGGACCAGGGAGTGCCCAATGTTACCCACCGACTGACCACCTGACCTATTCTCATACCCACACCTTCAGGAAGAGCTCAGGTCATATCTTGTGTGCCCAGTCCTCCATACCCTAGAAGAGAACATAACAACTCAGCTAGTTGCTTTATCTTCCTCCAAACCCAGTGTCTCCAAAGGATGAAGAGACTTCTGATGAGCCCCAGTGACCATCAGCTGCCAAAGGCAGAAGCATAAGTAATAAATCCCAGCAGACCAAATGAAAAGGGGAAGTGGTGGCACATACTTTTAATCCCAGCATTTGGGAGGCTGAGGCAGGCAGATCTCTGAGTTTGAGGCCAGACTGGTCTACAGACTTAGTTCCAGGACAGCCATGACTATATAAAATAAGCCTGTCTCAAAAACAAAAACAGAAAACAAAACAAAACAAAAAACCCAGGAGGACAGAAATGCTATGACAACAGGATAGCTTAGAGAATGCTCTTGTGGAAAAAGGAGATGTCACACTAGGACAGAAATAGCAAGAACCCCTACTGTGGTCTGAATGAGCACAACAGCTCCCCACATTCATGGAGGGGACTTAATCCAGGGTCACAGCGTTGGAAGATAGGGCCCCGGGGAAGGTGTTGAGTCAGAAGGCCTCCGTCCTCATGGTGGATTGCCACTGCTGCAGAAATGGTTTTACACCAAACTTGGAGCTCACCATTTAGCTAGACTTCTGGGCAGTGAGTCCCTGGAATCCTGACTCTGTCTACCAGCACTGAGGTTACAGATGTGGCCACTGTAGGTGCTGAGATCCAAACTCAGTTCCTCATGCTTGCACAACAGTTAACCCACCGAGACGGCTCTCCAGCTCCTGCTACACCTTGTGATGGAGGATTGCATAGATTTGACGATTTACAGATTCCTCACATGAGTAAACCAATAACCAGACCTGACAGTGCTTGGTTATTTGGAGTCACAAGTCCCTTTGGAAAATGACACTAGAGAATGGAAACTATTTACAACCCAGGGAGACAAATGACAAATTTCTTGTTAATCAGATTGACACAAGGTCTCGGGAAAGGTTGACTGTGTTCTGCTCAGAAAATGTTTTTAACAACATTCTCCGACTGGAAGCAAGAAGATAAGAACTGTTCACTGTCAGGGACCTCCAGCCATCAGTCAGCTAGGCTGTATCACGTACTCACAGAGAAGACATGACACTAAGACCACCCTGCCACCCCTTCTGACATAAAGCAAATTCCAAGTAACAAGCCTGGGGTTTACCAGTCAGTTAAAGATTAGCTTAATTGGAAAAACTACAAGGTCCTCAGAAGATAGGCCTGAGCAGTAGTAAATTGTAATAGATAGGATCGGACCCTGCTGTCAGGTTAACAAGCAACATAGGAATTCTTACCCCTGACCTCTTGCCCTGTAGATTAGGTAGCCAGGCAACGCAGCAGACCATCTCTCCCACTGACCTCTTGCCCCTGCAGCTGCAAGCACATCCTCTGCCTTTCCCTCCTCAGTTCTCCTATATAAATCCCCTTGTGATGAAATAAAGTTGTCGCCTTGATCAGAATCCTGTCTTGGCGTCCATTCCTGTATCCCCTGTCCTCCATCTTTCTCCTAGGTGTCCACCAGACCCACGTTGAATGTCCTGCAGGTCGGGACAGTTCACAAATCCCCCACCCCACCCAGAAGCATGTTTACATATCTGAAACATGAGGCTTCATAGCTGGCCTTTGTGTTAGGATTTGTAAAAGAACTTCCGACAATTGTAGGAAGTGAAACCGTGGCGCCTGCAAGGGACAGTGGGTTTGTTTTCTATTGGCCTGTGACAAACTATCACACATTTAATAGCTTAAAGGCATACCCATTTATTGCTTCACTCTTTCTGTAGGCCAGGAACTCAGGCACAGTGACACAAGGCAGTCCTTGTACCGCGTTCTCATCCAGAGGCTGAGTGGGGAAGAATCCACTACAAATTCATCCAAGACATTTGCTTGAATGGCATTGCTCAAGCCCGGGGTTTTGATTGCTCTCTTCTGGGAAACTAACATCATATTTTAACAGTGTATCTTAGTGGCCCCTTGGAGTCCCTAGAGATTGCCTACAGCTCTGAGTTTCCCCAACATGACCAGCACCTCACCAAGGCAGCAGTCTGTCACCAGCATTTCTGCCATGACCACTTCTTTTGCCCACTTCCTAGGAAGGGCCTATGAGATCAAAAGACTGCAGACTACAAAAAAAAAAAAAAAAAAAAAGACTGCAGACTGCAGACTGTTAAGAGTTAAGATTGAGGCTTGCAACACAGCTACATCTTCTTGAGCTGTGTGTTTTTGGGCAAGTAACCGAATGTCTCCTGCCTGCAGTTTACTTAGGTACAAAATGGGCTAATTGTCTTCGCATATTAATTAGGATGTTTTCAACTGCAGACTAACGGAAAGTAATGAGATTCAAAGCAGAATTTTCTTACAATAAGTCTAGACATGGTACTTCAGGGACTGAAGCTGTCAATGTCCTTAAGGTCAGACTTTTGTGGTGATGACTTTATTTTTCTTTGTTGTCCTCATCCCAAGGTGTTGAATTTTGTTCTTAGCTTCATGCCTCCCTGGCTGCAGTTTGGATCCAGCAGCTCTTCGTGTTCTGCAGTAAACAGCATTGTAGGCAATTAAGGATGACTGGGGTTGGTGCCTGGTCATCCCTTTACTCCCCACCCTGCCTTTTTTTATCCGATAAGGTTTAATGTTTTATAAATAATGGGCTGTGTGTGTGTGTGTGTGTGTGTGTGTGTGTGTGTGTGTGTGTGTGTGTGTAGGGTATAGTGTTTGCCTGTATGTTGCATTTTGCATGGGTGTGTGAGCATGTGTGCCCATGCATGGGGAGGCATGAGTGATATTGAGTGGCTTGCTTTATCACTCACTACTTTATATGTGTTAAGGCAAGGGTTCTCATTCGAATCCAAAGCATGCCAGTTGTGCTAGTCTCGCTGTGCTGTCTCCACCACCCGCCTAAGCACTGGGATTACAGAGGCTGCCACACTGGCCTGGCATCATGCTGCTCCTGCACCATGTCTTCCCTGCCATGGTGAACTGAAACCCTCTGAAAGCGAGAGTCAAAATTCCCTCTGTTGTTTCTGCCAGGTACATTTTGGTCACAGTAGTGTGGAAGCAACTGATACACACTCACATAAAGGACTTAGATCATATTCACCCCATCACTGCTTTGTTCCTCCCTTCCCTTCCAAATTCCTAATAGAATTTGCCTTCTTGGTTTGCTGTTTTTCACCTGTGAATTTCTTAGGGTAACACTGAAAGTGAATAGTGAATGTCCACTTTAAGAGAGCCAGATGTGGTAGGTAGTATGTGCTTGTATTGCTGGGGAGGCAGAGACAGGGGGATTCCTGGGGCATACTTGTTGACATCCGGGCATTATGCTGACCCAACCCCCTGACAACTGGCAGGGTGAGCACACTGGCATTCAGGCAGATACTTAGACAGCTCAAAGGACCCTGTGTTGCTACGCCACACATTACATGGCTGCATAAGGACTCTGGACGCATGTGCAAGCTTTCCCTTTTAAGCGAGTGCCTCCCACCTGTTTGCCCCTTTCATCTCTGCTCCTGGTTGACCAACGTGTACCCCTCCCTTTGCTCCATTTCTCCAATAAACTCCTTGTGGATTTTTGTTGAGTTTTGCAGTTCGTGTCTCATTGCCTGCAGCTGTAGCAAACAACACTGGCCGTCCTTCCATGTCTACCTGATGACTTCCAAGCTGGTGCATTATGGTATATTATTTTAATTACATAAAAATGTGTTACTTTTTTATTCTGAAGACTATTACTTTAACTGTATAAAGGTGTGTCACTTTTGTTTATGCTGCATGTGTTTAATGATGTAAGGATGTGTGTTTAATTATGTAAAGATGTGTTGCATCTGTTTTACCTTGCCTGCCTAAGTCACCTGACTGGTCTAATAAAAGGCTAACCAGCCAATAGCTAGGCAGGAGAGAGGATAGATGGGGCTGATGGGTAGAAAGAATAAATAGGATGAGAAATCTAGGCTTGAGAGAGAAGAACGAATGAAGGAGGAGGGAATGAGGAAGACACCCTGGGCCAGAACCAGGCAGCTTCCAAGCCAGCAGACGGCACCAGAAGCAATGTAAGTAAGATATACAGAAAGAAAGGTTAAAAAGCCCCACAACAAACTGTAAAGAGAAACGGTGTAATTTAGGTTAAGGCTAGCCAGACCGAACATTCATAACTTAATCTCTGTGTCACGATTTGGGAGCTAGTTGGTGACCCAAAAGAAAAAGCCCGACACACTAGTGAGAGACTGACTCAAAAAAACAAAAAACAAAAAAAAAACAAAGACAAGGTAGACACTTCTGAAGAATGACACCTAACCTTGTCCTCTTGTCTTCCTGTGCACATGAACACACACACACACACACACACACACACACACACACACACACACACACGGTCTTAGTAACAATTTGTAGTATAGTAAAATATTTGTTGGAACCCATGAGGTGACTATCAGCCTGGTTATGCATGAAATATGAGGTCATTCCACTTAAGAATGAGGCGATGACATCAACTCAAGTCATCTAATTAGGGAGATCACTATGTAAAATTGCTTAAGATTTGAAGCAGTAGAACCTGGCTGACTGCAGCAGACGTCGTGGAGAAATAACTCCACCGATTTAAGTCCCTGATGTTAATAAAACGTGCCTAACCATTTTAGAAAGGTAGTTAAGTTGAGCCAGATGAGTGATGTCATTGTAGGTTAATCTTTCACTAGGACTGCTGGGAAAACTCAACTTCCCATGACAAGTGTGGCTCAAAATTTCAATATGAATAAATACACTTGTACTGTGAGCATTCCCCCCAGTGTGACAGATGTAGGCCCAGGAATGCTCAGGGTTGCCAGTTGCCGCAGAAGTCAGGAAGCTAGGAAGGATTCTGCTCAGGTACCACAGGGAGCAAGGTGGTTTCAGCATCTTGGTCTCAGACTTCTAACCTCTGGGACTGCTTGAGAACATGCTTCCGCTGTGTTGAAGCCCCTGTTTACAAGCTTGGTTAACAGCCCCTCCTGTGGGCCCCTTTAAATCTGTGAATTGAGATTAGGTTAAGAAGCAAATCAAACCCATAGCGTTTCTACGTTATAAAATCTGGGGGTTGACTTTTGTGGATTAGCATGTGTCTCAGCCAAATACTTCGTGCATATTAGAACACCTGCATTCTTCCCAGGAAGCAGAGCTAGCACACAGTGTGTGGGCAGGTGGCTTATTGTAATAAGGGACCTTGGGCAAGAGAAGCAAACAATAACCCTGGGTGTATAATTGAGGTGGTCACTGTGCTGAGCACTTCCCAGAAGCTCTTTGCCCTGGTGCCGAGAAGCAATCTGGGTCAGAAAGCAAATTGTTAAGGGTGAGATTCACTTTGAGGACTCACCTGGTTGCTACAGCTGGGGGTCAAATCTACAGCAAGTCTGCTTTCACCCAGGGGACGGAAACACAGGACCAAACCTCTTTATTGCGGGAGTGATGCGAATTTGCAGTCCTGGTTTTGCTTGTTCAGGGTTTTGGGTTTTGCTTGTCATGGTCGAAAGCACCGCTGTTCTTGTTCCTCAAGGCCTTGTACTTAAAGGTTCTGGTGTCTGGCCATCTTAAACTCATGGACTCTTTAAGTTAAGGTCAGCTCAGAACCCTGTAACTGGGCTTCCCTAGCCAGTGCTGCAAATGGCTTTCTTCCTTGGGACTGGTCAGCGGGGATCCTGGATCAAGCAAAGGATCTGGGCTGACCCTCAATAGCCAAAGTGACCTTATCTGTCATGATATGTGAGACACATTCCATCATCATCTAGTTTGTACTACGAGGTGAAAACAGTCTGTACTGTAATTCACTGCAAGCTTCTTGAAGGCGGAACATTACAGTTTCCGTCATCACTGTACTCTCATGGTGCCCGGTGTGTGTAGTAGGTGATTAGCAGTTACTGAGTAAAGGGAGGGAGGGAGGAGAGAGCAAAGAATTTGTTTCAACTCTTCCAAGGCAGAAGCAACTGTTGGGGACTTTGCCAATCAGAAAAGAACATTCATAGACAGTGACCAAGAATGCCCTAGTGGTGGGGCTTCTCTCTTAAGTCCTTAGTTCCAGGAAGCCAGCCCCCTTCATCCCTGTGAGCAACAGCCCAGCATCATTTTCACTGCTTGAGTCTCACCAGCCAATTGGTGCCTTCTTAGGCTCAACTGCTAAAAAGCAGAAAACCATTTGTGAAGGAAGGGGTCTGCAGCATAGCCATGGAATAGGGACAGCCCATTTACGCTTTACACAGCTTCTCCAAACCTCTGGGCCACCATTATTATCATGGAGAGACACTTAGCTTTCTGCCCTGAAGGTTCTTATCTGGAATTTTCCTGCTTTTTCTCTGCTATGTAGGTCACAAGGGAACTTCCACTTTGCACAAGCTAAAGTCTTCTCTATGGACCAAGGCTGTCATGGTGACCTTAATTACCTTAGCCCTTGGCCAAGCTCCAGGATATAATAAACTCATGCTCCAAGTTAGCACACTGAGGAAATAATTGGAGCAATTTTTAATTCCTGGAGGCACAAGAATTGGGTGGCATGACCTAAGCTCTGAGTGATGGGAACGATTTTAGACCAACACTTGCTGAGTTGACAGTAGTCTCATGGATCCCAGATGTTCTCAGCTCTGTCTGGAATAAAGAGGCCTATGCATGAAATTCAAGCCGTTCAGTGGAGTATGACTTTTCAAAAGCCAACCTCTCTCCCAAACTCAACCTATTCCCACCCGTGTCCTCTCTTTTCCTTTATATGGGTGAAGGTTTGTCCCAAATGCTAGGGTCGTGCAAACAGTGTGGGGAGCACGAGTGGACAGTTGTGCCCTGAGCATCTCTGGAAAACCAAGGGACCAACTCCTGGAGAACGTGCTAGATAAAGCAATGACCCACACAGATGTCTCTTGTGGGCACCTAGTTCCAACTTGCAGAACCTCATCTGTCTCTTTGCTTCCCAGAGCCTTTAGTTTTCTGATGAGGTGAATACATTCTGCATGGTCTGACTACATGGCTACTCTTGGCTTCCAGAAGGCAGACTATAAACCAGGGTCTGTGTGTGTGTGTGTGTGTGTGTGTGTGTGTGTGTGTGTGTGTGCACAGTTAGAGATACTCATTAGGACAAAACCTCATGGGGCAACACACACAACACAAATGGAGTAACGTGTACCACTTGTAACAAGTGGAGTCCTAGGAAGGCAAGTATGGATTGCTGACCAGGTGAGGTCTGTGGGATTCCTGATGCTGCTGCTCTAGACATAAATCTTGGCTCTCCATGCCTCTTCCTTCCCTCCTGTCATTTTCTTCTTCAATCACTCCTTCTGCCTTCCTTCTTCATTTCTCCTGAGAACATTTTGCCCCTTCCCCTGGGCCTAGCAAACCCCGCACCATCTTGGATCCTGGGTGTGAAAAGGAACTGGTCTTCGAAGAATGATTGACATTAGACCTTCAGCACTGTGGGGAGGTTGGGATGCTACAGGTCCAAGAGGCTGGCTGAAAGGTTCAGGCATTGCGCTGGCCTGCCCTGTTACCTGGCAGGATGCACTCAGGCAACAGTCTGGCCAGCCCAGAGTTCCGTGAGAACCACGCAGGTGCAAAGGACCCCTTTAAAGGACTGATCCCTGCCTGTTTACGCTCTTGCTCTCTTACTCTCTTGCACTCTTGTCTCTCTCTGTCTGTCTCTCTCTGTCTGTCTCTCTCTGTCTGTCTCTCTCTGTCTGTCTCTCTCTGTCTGTCTCTCTCTGTCTGTCTCTCTCTGTCTGTCTCTCTCTGTCTGTCTCTCTCTGTCTGTCTCTCTCTGTCTGTCTCTCTCTGTCTGTCTCTCTCTGTCTGTCTCTCTCTGTCTGTCTCTCTCTGTCTGTCTCTCTCTGTCTGTCTCTCTCTGTCTGTCTCTCTCTGTCTGTCTCTCTCTGTCTGTCTCTGTCTGTCTGTCTGTCTCTGTCTGTCTCTGTCTGTCTCTGTCTGTCTCTGTCTGTCTCTGTCTGTCTCTGTCTGTCTCTGTCTGTCTCTGTCTGTCTCTGTCTGTCTCTGTCTGTCTCTGTCTGTCTCTCTCTGTCTCTCTCTGTCTCTCTCTGTCTCTCTCTGTCTCTCTCTGTCTCTCTCTGTCTCTCTCTGTCTCTCTCTCTCTTATCTCTCTCTCTCTGCTCTGCACGGGTTGGTTACCTCTCACCCCCCCCCTTTCCCTCCCTGTCCACCAATAAACTCCACATGGGATTGTTGAGTCTCTGTGTCTCCTTACTGGATAAACCTAAACATTTTAACAACACTGGCTACCTTATCTCAGGCTTGCTGTAGCCTCCTTGCCCACCTCCGTGTCTGAACTAATGTCTTGTGACTGGTAGACAGAAATCTTTTAGAATCTATTAACCTTAGCAGAACACTAATTTCCATCAACCCCAAAGCTGAGAATGTCACAAGAATAGTGTTTTGGGTCAAAAGAGAAACAAAACAAAAGTCCCCCATCTTGCTGTATCTGATTTCTCTGCTGTGCCCACCAATGTATTTTAAACTTGCCTTGAGCTATGACATACTTTGTTCTGTAAAACTTCCAGAAATTACTTCTGTTGGAACATGGAATTCAGGTAACCTTAAATCTGTGTTCTGTGGCCACTCAAAATGGCTCCCCAGCAAACTTTGTCTTACTCTTTAAGATGAGAGCCGTGTTTATTGAGCAGACAGCACACACAGAGGTATTGGTAGCCCTCCAGGGTGCTTTATTTTGTTAGTAACCTGACCACACTTCAGAAGGGAAGGACCGGTTTCTGGAGTAAGCAGGTCGCATCTGCAGGTTAGTCAATACCTGAGACCTGCCTGACAGGAGATGGATGGAGCAGAACTAAGGGTAGAGAATTTGGAGCTTGAATCTGATGTTAGCCCAACACCCACCACCCTAATCAAAAGTCAATTCCTGGATTTCAGGCCATGAATACAAGCGGCTGGATCCATAGTTCTATTGGTCTGTGCAAGTGAAAAGTCGTGTGCTGTGTGTGTGGGGGGGGGGAGGATGTCATCCCCCTTCCCCCCAGGCAGAAGCAGGTGGGACAAGTCCTTGTGTGGAAGGCAGGGTGGTGATTGATTTTGGCCTGTGAGCAGCACAAAGGGGTGTGAAAGGAGAAGGGAAAACAGAAATCACACCAAGCAACTTTCAAGTTTCTCAGCGAGCAGCCAGAGGTGTTAACAGCCAGCAGTTCTCTGTTGGGCTCTGCTCTGGCCAGGAGGTGTTGAGATTTCAAAGCTGAGTGGTGAGCAGGCAGAACAGCTGGTGGGCTCCAGGGTAATCGCCCTCACAGCCGGGTCTGTTCACAGAACTTCAGCTGCCAGGAGCCTAACCCTCCAGCCCTCGAAAGCCCCCCCCCTTAAGTCAATAGACTTCCTTTTTAGAAAAGCCAAGAACCAGCCTACTACCCAGCAGGCACTCTAGCAAGGAGAGGGGGGCAGGCCTGAGCTTGCTTAGATACCTCGTAGGGAGCATCCAGTTGGGAGTCCATCTGCCTGCAGAGAGAGAGCCCCTGCCTCCCCCTCTTCTGAGGGAAGAAAGCCTTGAAGCAGTAGGAAGAAAAGGGAGAGGTGGCATACTAGGGTAATATATGAGTGCCTCTGGGAGGCACAGCAAAAGGCTCATCATTAAATCCCTTCTGTCAATGCAGCCATAATATTAGGTTCTTGTGGCCTCTCAACCTTTCAGAGCCTGAGCGGAAGAAAGACAGGTGGGGTAGCCAGGTGCCTTCTCTGGTGGCACAGTGAGGTGCCCCCAGATAATTTCAGGAATCATTGAGGAAGGAATTGGTTACGGCTGAAAGTCAGGTAAAATGTCAGTCAGCTCTCTGATACTGTAGCAAGTACCTGAGATAATTACAGGTACGAGGATTTAAGCCCATGATCAATTGGCCTAATTCCTTTTGGGCCTGTGGCAAGGCAGGGGTGCATGGTAGAGCACATGTTGGCTAGAGGGGAGATACTCACTTCTTGGAAAGGAAGGAGCTGGGGTCCCAAGATCCCTTTTACGGGCTAATTTCCCAATGCCCTAAAATCCTCCCATGAAGCTCTACCTTTCGACAACTCCACTTCTATCTCCTGGTAGCACCATTCTGGGGAACAAGCCTCTACCACACGGGTCTCTGAGGGACACAGAAAAGAGTCAAACTTAAGCAGGAAAGATAAGGTGTTAGAAAATGCCACAGGTTTGTTTATACCAAAGACAGTTCATGAACCAAAGGGGACTTTGAGAGCTCAACATTAATGATAGAGCAATAAGCTCTATTTAATAATAAATGGGAAAAGTATGGAAGCCAGGTACAGGAATTTCTTGGTTGTCTACAGTTGGCTTTTGTCAGATGTTGGTATTAATGTTAAATGATCATCAAAAGATCATTTAAGATCATGTATCATTTGTAGCACGATAAATGAAAGACTTAGAGACCGATATTGGGGTTCAAGCTTCAAGCTGAAGATAAGAGAAACAACCAAGCCAGTAGATGTAACCTCTACCCAGCTGAAATGGCAATCCTGTCTCCATTAATCCTCAGGGGCAAAAGGCTCTGAATTCCTGTCTCCTTATATCCCTTTCTCCACCCAGGCATAACCTCCTGTCTCCACTTCCCTAGTGCCGGGATTAAAGGTGTGTGATCTCATGTTCTTTTAGGACTGGATCAATTTTGTGTAGTCAGTGTGGCCTTGAACTAACAGAGATCTGTCTACCTCTTAATCCTGAGTTCTGGGATTAAAGGGATGTGCCTGGCTTCTCTGGCTAACTAGTATGGCTGCTTTGCTATTTTGATCTCTAGTGGTTTTAATAAATTGTAAACAATTTATCACCACAGTCATTGTATATCTTGAGCTTCAGTTTGCTTACATACGACCCTAAAATGCTGGTGATGTTCAGTTTAGCAGTTTCACAACTAAAACCAACAAATTAAACAACAATTGTTGTTGAACATTTGATTGCATTGTAACATCCCAAGACTGTGTTACTAAAGTTAATTTTTGACTCAGGGGGCAGAGCCAATGACTACCTGACTGGAATTAGCCATAGAGAACCCAGGAATACAGATAGAGAAGACACACAGGAAGGAGTAGATGAGAGATTTCTCATTCTCTTTGATCTGGAAGTATGGAGAGGACTGCTGATTGTTTCTCTGCTGCTGCTTTGATCTATCAAGTTTTTACCTCAGTATCTGACTCCTGAGTCTTTATTGGTAATAGAACTTAGATGAAAACCACAAAACAACCAAAGACATGCTATCTGCTTTGCTCTTAACCATCCTTGACTGTCCTAAGCCTGGGGACTAAAAGACCAACTTTAGACTTACCCACTGATGAATGATCCGTGGAGGTGCCAGACAGCTCCAGGGATTGAAATGACTGAGGCAGTGAGGGAATGAAGAAAAGACAAAATTAAGGACACAAAGAAAGGCTGGGATCAGGTGGACTGGGCACACTCACAGAGAAGACACAGCCCTTCAGAACTCAGGGTATCTACTACATGCAGTTGAGCAGGAGGCACAGTTGGTCATTGCAGACAGCTGAGCAAGGAGGTAGGGTTTATGGGATAGATGAATAAAGCAGTCTCAGTAGGGGAGCAGTCTTCAGACAGCAAACATCCAGGAGGGAGGAAGCTATGGTGGACATTTTCTGTACAAACTTTATCACCAGTTACACTTGAACTTAGAAGGAAGCCTTTGCCCTTCCCATGGGTCTGAGGCATTGTCTTCCTTGACACGACTGTGTTCATGTCAACGTACACATTCATTCAGGACTTTACTCACTACTTACAGAAGGGCTTCTGTGGTTTTTGTTTTTTGTCAGGCCAACCCAGGGAGGCAATATCTACAGAATGAATATTCTCAGAGCTATGGTACTGACGAGGTAGTGCTGTTAGGCACCGGCTCTTCCCATCACCATCTGATCTTAGATTCAGCTTCCTGGCCTGAACTAGTTCATCCTCTTTTGGAAGAGATGTGTGATTCTCTGTCCTGGAGAAACGAAACAACAAGGACAACAAAACAAAACAGCTTTTCCCCAGAAGGCCATCTTCTGTGGAAATTTACCTCTTCGTTCTCAGTCTGACTCAACTCCTTGTTCTTTCTGAGATCTACCTTTCCATTGCTCACAATCTTTTTAGAGGACTGTTGCAAATCCTCATATTGACTGCCAATGTCACTAAAGCTTGTGTGGAGGCCATCAGTTTCTGATCTGGGGAGAGGTCTCATGCTGGTGAAGTGCGCTAGTTGCAAGACATCTCAGTGGAATTAATATGGTGGGTAGAGGTTGGTACTCTAGGACAGACTGAACTTGGGATGAGGCAGGGAAGAATAGCAGATCTTTGCAGAGCTCAGATCACTGCATTTGGAGGGACATTTGCCATCCTCATAAGAGTTGTAGCCTTGGCTGTCTGAGCAAGGAGGCAGTTTTATTTGAATAGTCCTACAGAAAGAGCCAATATGCAGTTCTTCATCTCAACCTGGTTTTGCAAGTTAAGGGACAAAGTGCATGAGTGTGGTGATTCGTGCCCCTCCCCACCTCACATTAAATCAGGGAACGTACTTGACAGCAGTTCCTTCTACTTTTAGAACCAGGCTGAAACTTCCTCGGCATGCTCAGGGTATCAGCTCTCATTATCAAGTCTAATAAATAAATCACAGCTGAGAGCCATGGGGATCCAATATAAAATGTAATGCCTGGCACTACTGGAGATAAAATAAATCACCTGTAATCTGGTACGAGGGTCATCTTGATTCTGTACATTGCTAGGGACCTCAGTGGTGGATTGTACTAAACTCAGATGAAGCAGAAGGCTGTTGTTCAGGTTCAAGGCTTTGAGTGGAATCAAAGCAGCTGGGACAAAACATGAGACAACTGAAAGGACTCAGACATCATGCTGGCCTGCCCCTGTCACCTGGCAGAATGCACGCAGGCAGTACCCTGGTCAGCCCAGGGTTTCATGAGTACAGCCTGCATACAGGTGCAAAGGACCCCTCTAAAGATTGACCCCGCCCACTTACGCTCCCTCGCTCTTTGCTCCCTTGCTCGTCCTCTTGCCCTCTCTCTGCTCTTGCTCTCTCTTAGCTCTCTTCTCTGCTCTTTGCTCTCTTACTCTTACCCTCTTAGTCTCCCTCTCTGTCTGTCTGTCTGGGAGCCAGCCACCCACAGAGTAAGAGTGAAAGTAAGATTTACAGAAGAGAAAGATAAAAGCCGAGAGGCAAAAGGTAGACAGGATAATTTAACATTAAAAACAACAACAAAAAACTGGCTAAAAACAAGCCAAGTCCAGTTGTTCATACGTAAGAATAAGCCTCTGTGTGTGATTTATTTGGGAGTTGGGTGGCAGACCCCCCAAAAGAGGAAAAGAATAAAAGGAGAAAATCCACACCACCTATGGATAATGATGTAGCTTTCAATTACTTCCCGGGTACCACGTCTGCCTGCCACCATGCTCCCCACAGTAATGATGATGGACTAAACTTCTGAAACTGTAAGCCCCTAGCTAAATACTTTCTCTTATAAGAGATGCCTTGGTCGTGGTGTCTCTTCTTAGTAACAGAACACTGACTAGGATGGGACATTTCACATTCCAGCCGTAACAATCTGGTATGTGTCTTGCACTTACAGGAGGATGGGATCAGAATACGGTACTCTGGCTGGATGATGATTTTGAGCTGAAGGCAAATGAAGAACAGCAAATACTGAAGGAGAACAACAATTTGAGTTTTTCATCCCGTTTTCTGAGTGTTACATGCTTTACAAGTTCATAAACTTTGCTCCGGTTAATTTTGTCTCCTAGGTTTAATATCTATGGCTCTAACCATGAAATCTAGGAATGTGGAGGGAAGGGTGTTTCCCTCCTTAAGTGACACATCTTTGCATGTAGAATAGAAGCACTGCACGCGCCTAGTAGTCAGGTGTGGTCAGTGGTTGTTGGATTGGACAGTGAGTCTGGGAACTTCCACCTGAAAGTATTTCAAAATGCCTGGTGTTGATGAGAAGACAGGCAGGGCTCAGAGGGATAGTTGAGTGGTTTAAGGGCCCTTGCTACTCTGTAGGGAACCCAGGTTTGATTACTAGCACCAATAGGGTGGCTTGAAACCATCTGTAACTCTAGTTCCAGGGGGCACTCGGCACACACAAGGTACACAAAGAAGGCAGGCAGTTAGAGAAAGGCCTTACTTTCTTCATATTGTAGATCTAGTAACAAGCCATGATGCCTTAATGGGGTGGGAGGGGGCAGTAAGGGTGATTTTCAAGCCCTCTGGGGAGACCTGCATGATGCCCCTACTTTCTTCCCCTTCCCAGAGGTTATTCTGAAACCTCTGTTCAGAAAATGCTAGCAGACATTACAGTGAAGGAGGGAGACTTGGAATCCAGGCTGATGTTGGTTTTTGTTTGAATTTTTTTGGAATAATTTTGTGTCTATAAGCATTTGTGTGCATGCATGTATGTGCACCACATATGTGCCTGGTGCCTGCAGAGTTCGGAGCAGGGCATCAGATCTGGAACTGCAGTTACAGTTGGTTACAAGCCACTATGTGGGAGCTGCAAAAAGAATCTGGGTCTTCTCAAAGAGCAGCAGATGCTCTTACCTGCTAAACTATCTCTCCAAACCCTGACATTGTTCTTGAGTGGGCTAATCAAGTAGATCACTCACAAAATAACATAGGGAGATGGGGTATCCAGAAAGCCCTGTGTCAAGGACAGCATTGCTGGAAGAGTGTTGCTGGTGCAGAAGGGGGTAGCATGTGGCTGGCAACAGCATTTACAAGGCTCAGACATTCACTGTATATGGTTGTTGGAATGGGAAATGCCCCCATAGGCTCATATATTTGAACACTTGGTCCCTAGTTGGTGGTACTGCTGGGAACTTCAGACCTTTGGGCTGCACTTGCTGGAGGAAGTATGTGACTCTGGGTGGGCTTCACTCCACTTCTGGCTCACTCACTCTGCCATTAGCATGCGGTGGGGATGTGATCTCTCAGCTTCCTGCTCCAGTCACCTGCTGCCATGACTTCCACCATTATGGACCCTGAACCTGTAAAGTCAAAATAGACTCAAGTCTACTTTCTGGTCATGGAGTTTACTGCAGCATCAGAAAAGTATCTAACATAGTGTGTTTCAAAACGTTTGCTCTTGTAGTAGGGGGGATTTTTACAGGTAACCTAGACTGCAGTGGGCCCAAGGATGCAGAAGAAGACAGCGAAGGAAAAAGGAACTTTCAAATTAGCTCTGAGTTTGCTGGGATGCCTTCATATGCCAGTGAAAGAAATCAGTGAAGACTGGCTTTATCACAAGGATATTTATTGTCTTAACGAAAAGCTGTATATGTGTGCTTCAAGGGCTGACTCAGCAACATTCACGATGTCACGATGGACTTGGGCTCTTCTCATCTCTTCTCCGTTCCCTTGGGCTGTTTAGTTTATTATTCTTTGGGTTGTTGCCTCATGATCTGAGGAAGGCTGCTGCAGTTCCAGCACATCATATGTACTTAATTAAGCAAGGAAAGCAGGTGGTAAAAGGTTTTCTTCCAGCGAGGCTCTTTCAACTGAGTATTGAAAAGTTTCTTGGGAAGCATCCTTTTGTATCTAGCTAAGCTGGGTCACATGCTGTGGATTGCTCATGAGAAAGCCACTTTTCAGCTTCTAGAGAAGGGGAGAGGCAAGGGAAAGGGTACAAAGCTTGGCTTTTCGATAGCCAACCACAGTCAATGCCCCTAAGAGCAAGCATCACGCTGTAGAAAAAAAGTACATAAAGGTCATGACTGTCGGACCTTGCATGTGTCTCTGTGCCTCTCCAATTCTCTCCAAGCCTTTTTTTTTTTACTTTTTTTATATTTTATTTTCCAGTTTAAATTTAGATAAGAAACGAGGTTGCTTCACAAGTCAGTTCCAGGTCCCTCTCCCATTCCCTCCCCTCTCTCCAAGCCTCTTAATACTCCTAATTTTATTTTAAAGTCCTTGAAGGTGGTAAATGAGCTTTTAGGTGATGGTGGTATTACACTTTTTGTTTCTGAGACAAGGTCTCTCTATTTAGCTCTGGCTGTTTTGGAACTCACTGTGTAGGCCAAGCTAGACTTGAACTCACAAAGGTCCACCTGCCTTTGTCTCCTGAGTGCTAGTATTAAAGGCATGAACCACCACTCCTGGCTCTGTGTAGTATTTTTAATTTAACGAGCCTTACTTGGTAAAGGCATCTGTGGCTGGTCTTTGTTAAGGGATAAACCCTGTTAACAGACTGATGGAAAGTGACTTGTAGTGATTGCCTCCTGGCTCTGGTTTCTGAGTTCTTTTCCCAGGGAGGACAACAGGCTCAAGAAAGCTGAAGAAAAAGACCATTTGTCTGAGCTAGGCTGAAGGCACTCCTCTTAAAACGGAGGGCTGTCTGGCCCAGGCGTAGCTGTGGAGGAGGTTGTGCGGCCATCTTCTTTTGCGTGGCATTCTTTGCTTCCCCAGGCAGCTTCACATGGCTCTATTGTCCAGAAGTAAAGTAGGCCTTATAAAAAATTGCCTAGAGCCCCGCCTTCAGTTCAGTTCATGCAACAACAAAGTCTGAACCCTGGCTCCTCACTTAAGCACACCTGAACCTTCCGTCTGTGTCCCCAAACACAGAACATAGTTAATCAATTTGATCAGGAGTGAATCCTAAGCTGCTTACTTTAAGTGTGGCAGGGATGAACAATGATAGCACAGCACAGTCCTGAATGTAGGACCCTTCTCTGGGGGGCGGGGGCCGGAGGGCATATGAGGGTGGTATACTTTCAGGCAATAAGTGGTTTAGACTGGGAAGATACTCCTAAGGCTAGTTAGTGTCTTTGTGATTAGTTTTTGGTTTTAAATGGGAAAGTGATGCTCAGATACTTGGTCTAACGTTCTAGATGTTGATGTGAGAGTATTTTTGCAACACATTCATATTTTGATTACTGGACTTTAGGTTATTTTCAACATTGTGGTTGGGCCCCTGTATCAAAGCTAACACAGGACACAATGATGCCTGCCTTCTGCCAGCAGAGGGCCTTCCCACACAACCCTCCAGGTTTCCAGCCTGCAGCGTGTCCTAGAGATGTAAGCCAGCCTGGGTAATACCTTAAACTAAACAAACCGAGATGCCTCAGCAGAGAGAGGCGCATGTTGTGTACAGGCAGGCCTGGTGACCTGAATTCAATCCTCAGAGCACGTCTAAGGGGGGAAGGAGAGAACCAAGTCTACAAGGTTGTCCTCTGACCTCCACCCTCTGCACTCATGCCTCCCACACATATTACACACACCACACCACACATACACACACACACACACACACCCTTATTTCCATTGTGTTTCTTTCTCTGAGAAATCTTGACCAACACAGCACGGCAGGGTTTTACAAGCTGCATCCCATAGAAATTTCCACATCACTGTGGCTCAGACAAACGGACACATCAAACGAACCATTACATCTTTCAGTCACACCCGTGGAAGCCTGTTGGTGAGAAGTCACACCTTTGCCTTCCTGTCTCCTTCTAGTCCTGAAGCATTGTATCTAATTCTACTTCCGGTCCTGGGGTGTTGGCACTGCATGTGCCTCTCTTGATATCATCTGAGGGTTGGGGCTGGGATACAGCACTCAGAGATGAATGGCTATTGCCTTTTCTTCAGGTGGCCAACAGGCAGAACTTGATAGCCAGGGATCCCATTGACCTCAAACCTTGAAGCCTTCAACGCTATTTACAGAACAGCTCTGGGCTAGCTGGAAGCAATTGCCCCAGGGGTAATAACTATGCTAACAGAATGAGCATGTGGTAGCTCATAATCCATCAACTGGTTCAGCTTTCATAAACAGGGCAGCGGTTAATAAGAAAAGGAATCTCAGAATTGCTTTGGCTCAGCATGTGTGCTTTGTGTTATTATATTTTAATAATGCAATATATGCTTAAAAGTATGTAGGCACATGGGACCAAATAGGATCACAAATTTAATGACATACTGCCTCTGCTTAGCTGTATTTTCCATATAAGGTAAAAGCCCCACATAACTTTGGCGTTGCAAGAGACACAAATGCAGTCAATGTCACTTTGTAGTAAAGGGTAACTCAGCAGTCTTTGGTTGCTCAAAGCCTTGCATATTCCTAACAAAGTCTAGTATCTAGGAGGACTGGTCCTTGGGTGGCTCCCAAGATAACCTCTGTGCCCTTGATTAGAATTCTGTGATCCTCTCAGGCCTGGGCATCAGGTTTGATCTCAGGGGAGGAGGCATCTGGAGGTCAGGCAGCTAGGGTCAGTCCCCTGGGCACTGCACAATAATGCCCCTTAGAGATCTTGTGTCCCAAGGCTCAGGTGGGATGATACCCTGGTAAACAATATGTAACCGTGGGTCATTCTGCATCATAGCTGGGACTATTCAGCACATCCACAGATGACTGTCTTGGGAGGGGACACCTGGAAACTTGTTGCTGGCTTCTATGTCATTGATGTGCCTTCTTCCTTGTGACTTCAGATCTGTGTCTACCCACTGTAAGAAACCATAATCATGAATGGTCCAGCTTTTCTAAGCACTTGGAGTCTCAGGGGCTCTTGACCCAGTCACTCAGCTAAGGGAGAGCTAACAAGAGAGGTACTGTCTAGGAATGTCAGCAATAAGAAATCAGTAATGTGGGAGCTGGATTTGGAACTCTGAGGGATCACCATGGGGGAACTTTGAAGGTCTTCCACTTGGACCTTTGCTGTGGGATATTTGATCACACGGTGGCCACAAGTTTTCATTAAATTAAATAAAACCTTGGGTCAGGAGGTGGAGTCAGCAACTAGT